CTACTAAATTATAGTTGGCAAAACATAAAAATAAAAATCATTAAAATCAAGTAATTAAAAAAAAAACCAAAGTATAATCCCTAGCTACTTAGTAGAGACAGTGGTGGGAGAATTGAGAGCTTGGAGCGCCATTGATGGATTTCCAGAAGGCTTGAAAATTGTGGGAATGAGAGAGAGAGAGGGAGAAGGGGTGGGGTTTTATAGAGAGAGAAAAGAGAGAGTGAAGGAAGTTGCGTGAGGAGTGACGAGAAGATGGACGGCAAAAGGACAGAGTGCGGGCACGTTTTACTTTTGGGTCACTCGGCGGCGGCTGAGGACCGGCCCCGCCCCGACACCATATTCGGTCAAACTATTAGGACGTGGCTGCGCTGACTTTTTCAACCGCCTTAGGCCTCACCACAACTAAAAAATGACTTTGGCTTTTATTTTTATTATTTGATATCAATTTGGTGACAGAGAGTTCAAAAGAAACGAATTAATATATTTTGCTATATAAATTTTCTCATGATCCAATGAGCAACTAATGGTCATCTAATAATCAACTAACGATGGTTTGATTTTATATGTACCAAATAATTTACCTAACTCAAATCTTAAAAATAAAAAATACTTTTTTTTAAAGAGAGACTATTTATTTTTATATATACTGTCATTTTACTATTTAGGCGAAAAAATGGGCGAAAATTTATTATCGAAAGGTAAATTATATTTAACTTCAAAATTATCATTAATCAAATTGAATAAAAGGTGATTCAAGCTAAACACAATTTAATTGATTAAAACATATATTCCAACCTAAAGGTTGTGCTATGAATTCTCATCCCCACATATTGTTGTATTAAAAATAATTTGAATAAAAGACAAACATAATATTAGTTATTTTATTTATATTTTTTATTTTTACAAAGTTGAGGTTAAGTTGGGACATGCTTGCTGTTTGACTAGACACTATTTTGTTGGTTATGTAATGTATTGGACATTTTTTTTTAGGTTAAGACTTTGAGCTAAGTTTGTACACTTTTTCCAACTATTTGATTTTGTGGTCAATTTTGAATATTCATGTGTTTGAGTTTAAAGGGGTTGGATACATTTTATGTCATTTAAACTTTGCTTTCAATTTTTCATAATTATATTTATTACTAACAATTTTATTTATTTTGAGTTATACTTACCAAATAATTTATAGCCTCTACCTATATATGTAGCACTAAGAAACTTATATCTTATATTTTTTTCTGACCTAACCAGGAAAAGAGGACAAGGAAAAACAAGAGTAACTTATATCTTATATTTTTTCTGGCCTAACTAAGAAAAGCGGACAAGGAAAAACAAGAGTGAAACGAATGAGACTTCTTTCAAGTTTAGGGTACTTGGCAAGACTTCTTAATTGAGCAGTTAGGAGGCAATTAGATCACATTTTTCATTTCGCTTAGCTACGTATCGTTGTCGCTCATAGTCCATGAAAGACAGTCCTTTTATTGGTTGACGAGGTCATGCTTAATGTTTTTGACCAATCATCGCTTCATTCCTCTAGTATATAGGTCCATCACAAATTCAAGCAAACAAAGACAACTAATCCATGAGGGTTGGTTTATCAAAAAAAAAAAAAACCCACGAGGGTTGAAGTACAATTACAAATAAATAAATAAAAGTAGAAAAATAAGCTTTGAAAAGTATGCTATTTTGTTTTTTAACTAATTAAATTAAGGTTCTAAAATTTGGTTCAAAAAGTAATTAAACAAATAACTAAATAAAATGGTGGTAGACAAAATCAATTTTAAAAACAAAAAACTGAAAAAAAAACGTTACCAAACAACATTTTATCAATTATGATTAAACAAAATTTTCATTTGTTTATTAGCAAGTTAAARGAGGAGGATTAGTTTCCAATCAAGTGGTCGTGAATTCGATCACCTTCCCAAAGAGGATTGGTTTTGCTAATGATATAAGTTTGAAATTCGACTGTAAATAATTTAAATTTGAAATTCAACTACGAAGACGTTAAAAAAATTATGTCAGTTTCATAAATTTAAACATTAAATAGGTAAAATTGGAAAGAAAAATTACAACTAACATTAAAATAAATTCTTTTTATTTTTAGTACAACAGAAAAACGTCCTACCTTTAGATGCAGTTTACTACTAAATTATAGTTGGCAAAACATAAAAATAAAAATCATTAAAATCAAGTAATTAAAAAAAAAACCAAAGTATAATCCCTAGCTACTTAGTAGCTACTTATCTTCTACCTACCACTAAAATTTAATAACTATTTATCTCTTAAAAAAAAGACCTTAAATTAGTCTATCAAATAATTGATATATATTTCTTATAAAAAAAATTATGATTTTAAATCTTCTAATATTAATTTCAATTTTATAAAAATATCATATTACATGTGATTGATAAAAATATTGACACGTGGATAAAAAGTTTAATATCCAAAACTAAGAGTTGGGATCCGAGAGTTGGAAGTCAAAGTTTGAGATTGAATTTTCTTGGTGAATGACAAAACGCGGCCGTTTTTAATGCTCAACTTGGTTCGGTTCGGTTCRGTTACCGAATTAATCCTCATTAAAGTTTGAGCCGCCATGGGAGTTTGGTTTCACTCTTTGGTCACCTCAAAATATAACTCCCAAACCCAGTTCCCACAGTACCTATTTCAATCATATTAAATTTTCGTCAACCTCCCCATTTTTCTATATATACTTTTATATACAAATCATAATTTTTCAAAACTTATTTCAAGTGGTAAGTTTTTTTCTTCTGATTTCTATGATTTTTCTAAAAATATCATCATCGACATCTATTGATATTTCTATCGACATATTTATAAATTTGAGATAATAAATTTTTTGTCGACATCCTTGAATTTATTAATCTCACGTTGATCTAAACATAGCTCGAATAGTCACTACATCATTATTAACTTGTGAGTTGAGTCMCATATTAAATAAATTTTAAAAAAATTAGTATAGACTATCGAGGATCACTTTCTATTCAACTTTCACTTATAGAGCTTTCAATTCTCATATTTTGCTGACAATCCTTACATTTTTAACAACTAAGAGGGTGAATTTCATAAAAATAAATATTTTTTCTTTCTAATTTTTAAAAAACTAATAACCGGACCAATTTTTATTGATACTCAATAAAAAATAAATACCGACTCATAAGCACRTTCCATGTAAATATTGTTCTTGTTTTGTTGGATTCAAACAACAACCAAAAATCTAAACGTACATTTAATAAAATAAAATAAAAAATCTAAACGAAAAAACAAGTACATATTCCACCATGCTTTAATGTGGTGGTTGAGTTTGTTTGGGTGAGCCACCCAAGGTGGTTAAATGTTAATTAATTAATAGTTGAAATATACTTTGACTTTAATAATATTTTATTTTTAACAATTTAATATTCATTCTTTAAAAAATATAACAATTAAATCATAAATTAACTTCACAAAAGATCTGATTGTAAAGAACCGTAGGAATGAAATCGGTTTAAATCAATATTTTAAGGGTCCAATCGCACATACATTTATATGGCCTAAATTACAATGAAATTTTAAAAGTAAGGAAGAACCCCAATTAACCATAGCTCTCTAATAAATTTTGAATTAATATACGGTTTAAAGAATATTCAATTGAAACTAATAATAACTTAAAAATTTTTATTTACTCAGATGTAACTTTGATTTAGAAAAATTTTGGTTACCCCGATAATTAGTTTAAGTATAATATAAAGAGTCTATTATATAAGGACAAAAATATCGTGTCTGATTATTGTAAAATAAAATGAATGATATTATTTAGATTATTCATATGCAAATGGGTCTATGTAATTCATGTAAAGTGCAACTTCCAATTTTTAATTAAATATTTTTTGACGAAGTAATTTTGAAGTTAAAGACTACAAGTTAATTAATTGATTTTTTTAGATGAAAACAATGCTTTGTAGAACAAATTTAGTTTCAAGAATTAAAATTAAATAAATTATAGATTAGACAAATAATCTAAATAATGGATAAGATAATTTGTTTCTTTTTGAATAAAAAGCATGGTCGTTCGTTGATGAAGCTGCATGGGATCATTGGGCCTTCAGCCCAAAGATAAGCCTTGAATACTCCTAAGACTTCAATCTTTTCAGGCCCACTAAATCTAGAGCATATGGCACGAGCTACGGGCCCAAACGGAAGCCCATCTAGAGCTAAAGCATCAAGTGGCCTACCATACAATGGGGTAGTTGCAAAATATGACATAATTCAAATAAATTATTATAATAAAAAATTGAAAATACAGCAGAATAAGAAAGTTAGAAAATAGTGACAACTATTTATTTTTGTTGTGGGAAGTAGATTCAAATATTTAACCCTTCCTTTGATATTTAATATCTTAATTAGTTGAACTATAATTAGGTTAACAAAATAGTAATAACTATTAATCAATATATAGTGAATAAGTGACAATTATTAATGAATATTTAAGATAATTAATAATACAATTAATAAATATTTAAGTTACTCGTCAATATATGTTAATCTGTAGTTTCTGTATTTTCCTACCATTTAAAAAATGCATGGAAACAAATTTGGAAAAAGAGGTAAGATGCGACATATTCTAAAATGAAATGTCAACTTAGAACTATCCATGAAAAAGAGAATTATACCCCAAAATGCGTCTGCCTTTTGCTTCTTAAACACCACAATATTGCTCTTGATTTTACAAATATTTTGACATAGTCCTCACAATTTTGCTTTTGGTTCCACCCAAAAGGCCTCATGCGCTAATGGAGATAATTGTCATCTCTTATATACCCATGGTCATTCTCTTCCTTAACCAATGTGAGACTTTGTTTGTACTCTCCTTATAAACCTAACAATCATCCCCTCGAACAAAGTACCACCGAGCTTCCCCTTAAGTAGCCACTCATCCGTCTACTTTTAGACCTGAACAAGAGCTTGCTCTTATCCAAGGCTTCCACCAGACCTTGATAAAGCACACACACGGATTACATCATGACTACACCTTTTAAGACCAAAAACTTCTTTATTCGACATCTGAGGATTCATCGATACAGCTAGGTTTAGACCATGACTCTGATACTACTTGTTGAGGACAACGGTACTCTCATATAATGTGGGTCAATGCTCTTTCCCTACGAACCCAACCATGGTTAGTTTTAGTCTTACAAATACTTTATTTTTCTTAACATTTCGGATAAAAAATAATAATAAATAATAGCAAAATCCAAGGGCAAGTCGTTTGAATTTAAGCTAGAAAATATCCACATTAATGTAAAAAATAAAAATCATCTATTAGAGTCTCCAAGTTTAACTACGTGAGCAGAACTTTTTAAAGTCACACAAATAGTAATTATTGTTGTTGTCCAAAATATATGAGGTCTCTTCATTTATCTTTTAAGGCCAAAATCGTACAATAGATTGCAAAGGTAAGAAAAATATAAAATTTTGAAGTTGAAATTATTTTGGTAAGAAAAACATAAAATTTTGAAGAAATTATTTTRTTTGGAAGAATAATAATTAGGTATTGACGGTCAGTATCTGTCTTCTAAATAATCCTCACTAAAAGTTTAATAATTCTTTTAGTCAACACAGAATCATTATTAATTGATCAATATCTAAATAATTTATCTTTTAAAATTGAGGACAAAAAAAAGATATATTCCATGAATTATAACAAAATGGAGAATTGGAATTTGGTGCAAAATTAAAGCTAGTTTGCATAAACATTGAATCCACCCATTTGGGTTCATGTACCATATCTATGAAGATGTGATCAACTTCCTTAGATCTTGATCATTGCCCATTGAATATTTTAGTGGAAAATCATTAATTTTCTACTTTTAGATATGAAAATTAAGCTAATGAAATAAAATGATAAGATCATGACCGTCCAAATTGGGATCAGTGTTATCTTGGAAAGATAGATGCATCATTTTTCAACATTTTAGTCAAACCAAAGTCAAATTGTGGAGCATTAATCAATTTGACTGCCATTTTCTTTTTCTGTAGATAAAATAACCTATAATTAGGAAGTATTGGAATGCCAAAGTAAAGCACAAATATTTGAGTTCCATCGACATCACTTTTTTTTTTCTTTTTGGTACTCTCACTTACTCTTGAATATTTACTAATATTTGATTTTAAAGAAAATACATTTATAAAAATAAAATTTTACTAAAATAATAGATAATTATTGCACATGTTTGATTCAAGCTTACCATAAAAAAAGAGTAACAAAAATTTAATGTGATAAAATAGGAATAGATATGATAAATGAATTCTATGATATGACATTTTATTTTTAAAGAGGTTTGATTTTCACTAGATGTATTAGTTAAAAAATATAAATATGATTAGGTCTTAAAACATTATTTTAATAAAACACTTAAAATAAAAGAAAAAAGAAAAAAGGAGCTAACCTCTTTATTTTATAGTGCGACTAACAATGCCTCGCTAGATTTTCGTAAATTTTTCTTGGAGCGTGTAACAAGTAAATTATTACACTTACTTAAAAAAAAAAAAACTAATAATAATGATTGTAATTTAGAAAAAATTCTTCCATTTTATTTATTAGTTCACAATTGTTTTTTTTATTATACTTTCTCATCCTCCACGTGTCTTACTACTGGACCAAATTGCCCTCCCGAATTCAGAAATAATTTTTTTCAGTAAAAAAAAGGGGGAAAATTGAACAAAAATAAATAAAATTACGACGCCAGACGAATAAAAGATCGGCGGCTTCACCAATAGCATCTGAAAAAATTTCGCCTTCGCCTTCTTGCGTTTTTGTTTCTGTTTCTGATCAGAGCCGACGATGAAAGCAGCCTCGAATCTCAGTCCCTCAATTTCATTTTCGCCGTCGCACTGCAGGACGACCGCCGTCTTCCCTCTTCGTCGGTGGATCGCATCTCCGTCAACGGCCGTCGGCGATTTCTCGTCGTGCCGTACACATTTGACTCGCTTTCAAACGCACCGATCTGTGATTTCGCCTCTGCGCTGCAATGGTAATTCGAATTCTCGATCTCTCGTGTTGGTCAATATTCGTCGACGCAGGTCAAAATTGAACTCCTCTTTTGTGGAAAGTTCGATGTGGGGGCAATTTGGTCATAGTGAAACGCTAATTTCCCCCAAACTTGTTTCCTTTTCAAATAAATATTAAATTAAACCTACGCTTTCCGTATTGGCCGCTGCCTCTCTCGCTTTCTCTCGGG